AATTTATAAATTATCAAGGGTTCATGGGGCGGGGAGCAGGGAGGGAAGGGAAAAATGACCTAATGCCAGGGGCTTAAGTGGAGAGGAAATGTTTTGAGAATGACGAGGGCAATGAATGTACAAATGTGCTTTACACAGTTGATGAATGTATGGATTGTGATAAGAGTTGTATAAGCCCCTAATAAAATGATTTTTTAAAAATCCTGTCCCAATGGGATTTATATTCTGAGGGAGGGATCCAGGCAAGAGGCAGACACAGCACCAATGACCGCAGGAGCTGATTAAAGATGTCAGTGTTGCCCCGTGGAGGGTCTATTCCCTAGATCTGGGGTGGAGCCCAAGAACTGGTATCAATAATTACAAAAGACAGCCACATGGTCAGCTAGGTTGGGAGCCAGTGCTCCCAATAACCATGATGGTACAAAGATAAAAAGGAAGGGAACACCCTTGTTGAACACCAGCAGGTCCTAGGTAATTTAAATATATAAACCTGCAACAGCCCTTTGTATAAGTACCATTTAAACGAAACTAAATCTCGGGGGAAATAAGAAAACTATGAAGGTCACACAGCTCGTTAAGTGTTGGAGGTCATCCTGACTTTACCAGATTGTGTGCGGTTGCTTCCTGGCTGAGTTGAGGAAAGCTTCGCGGTGGAAGTACATGTGAAGCATTGCTGCTGTTTTCAGGAGCCATCAAGGTGGCTCTGACATAACTCGACCACAGTGACAACAGGAGGAAGCACTGCCAGCGGTGCCATCCTCACAGTTGTTTTGTGTTTAAAGCACGTTGTTGCGGCCACTGTGTCCATCCTTCTTGTTGAGGACCTTCCTCTTTTTCTCTGTCCCTCTACTTTACTGAGCACGATGTCCTTTTCCAGAGACTGCTCTCTCCTAGTAACATGTCCAAAGCATGGGAGACAAAGGAAGTAGGCATACGGAGTACAGTTTAAGGAAGAGAATTATGACAAAGTTGTGGAAGAGTGATAAGGAGCTCATTTAGTAAGAGTGCTCGGAAATAAGAGCGGGAAGGAAGACTAGAGCAAGATTGTGAAAAGCATCTTTTCCCTTGCTAAAGAGTGTGCATGAGCCAACAACACAAACCAGCACCACAGCGTAGAGTAAGAAAGCAAAATGTCAGCAAGCAGCACGGGGCCCTAGCTTACCTCCTCTGGCTTTCCTGCTGCAATGAGGCCGGGCTCCACCATGCCTCCATGCTACACCCTTCTTTAAGTATCCTGACACCAGGGGGTTCCTCCCACACCACTCTACGGCTAGCTAGGTTTGATAATTTACTGCAACGGCCGCACAGAACTTACAGACAATATAACTATGGGGCTTATTAGTGAAGTTAATAGGTTACCACAAGTCAGGACCAGTAAGCAGGAAGGACGGCGTCAGTGGTCCACAGCAACAGCACTCCTCAGCCCGCAGCAGCCACTCCAGGCCTCAGTCTCAGCCACGTGGTCCCTGACGGCGTCTCCGCCGCCTGTCATTCTTCACTGGTCCATGGTCTCCTCCATCTTGTCCCTTAGTCTCTGTGCCTCTGGTCTAAACCACGTCCCTGTCAGACAGAGATCTGGAAAGTGCTCTTCTGATGGTCCTGGGCTTGCTTTCTCTGCTCCTGCTTCAAAGATGACTCATCCTTATAGCCAGGGGGATGGTAGCCCCCCCGCTTCCAGCTCAATCATTTGGTGGGAGTTACAGAAACATGGGTGGAAGAAACTTCATTCCACCACAAAAGTACATACCCCGAGGATGGTGGGTCAGTCATACCAGCTTCAGTTACAGGAAGCGGTATCTCACCGCCTGTCCACTAGGCTTATTCATAAACAGGATCCTGAAACATCTAATTTAGAAATTAGGTGGAAAATACTTATTATAAAGACACACATATTTAGGAAGAAAGTGGTTTTTATTTTATAGGAAAATATTTTTAACATTTAACACTTTTTAAGAATATTATTTAAACAGAGCTAGATAGATAGAGGTTGTTGCTTTCTTGCCCGAAGTTTCACCTACCTATTCGATGTTTCACTACAGAATTAACCTAGTATATTTCAGATGTTTTGATTTACATTTAACATTTCAAGCACACATCTGTTGAGAAAAGCATGGCGCGCTTGCATCTTCATACTGTGGAAATGATTTCTTTGACTGTATCTCCTGCCGCAATAGCTGGACAGCTTTTCACGGGTTTTGGAGGGTGTGTTTGGGGTGGCCTAACCTAAGATACATGTATGTAGTATACTTGTGGGGGTCTCACACAGACGGTGACCCTCCTCTAGAGGAGCAATAAAGATGTATGAAGAAACCCAGGTGACCGTCCATCACAACATACATACATATGCCGTACGGATGAAGATGCCATGGGCAGGTTGTATGAAGATGCCATGGGCAGGTTAAAAATTACCTCCAAATGGAAAAGTCACCAACTAAGGAACTCTGTATTGGGCTTTGTTCACATCACGATGCTAATTACTTTCCTGTACTTAGAATCTCAAGCATATGCCGATTAGTCTACAGAATTAACATTTGAAGATTGAAATTGGAAGTATCTGTGAACAATACCAAAGTATTATTAGCAAATAATTTGATAAAATGATAATATTATACATTTTAATAAGGTTTAATATTATTGTAGTTTGTCTAACTTTGAAAGTATAATTAAGGCATAAAATTAATACTCTTTAGAGTCAGTGTTATTTTAGATCATATATCCTTTTATGCAGAGATACTTAAGAATAGAATCTTATAATAAAAAAGATCATCTATTCTGCTCAGAACTTTTAATTATTGTATAATTTTGATTATTTAAAGGAATGGGAGAAATTGCTGTTTGGAGTTTGTTTTTTTCACGCTCTTGTGCAAGAGAGAAAGAAATTTGGACCTCTTGGTTGGAATATTCCATATGGATTTAATGAATCAGATTTACGCATCAGTATCCGACAACTTCAGGTAAGATGAGAAAGGGACTAATTGAAATATTCCCCAGACCCTATGCAAGTCTGTTTGCCTAGGACAGGTTAGTCAATTCTCCTGACAGCACTAACGGGTGGGTGTATTGCGATAGCATTTCTAACGCTCCACCTGGATTCTGTCTGTTGCTGCAGTTAATGGGAACCCTAGTTCAACCTGGCTTAAGCCATAATAAAACAATCTTTTACATTAAAAAGAGATGCAGATAAAGGTTCTAGGACTTTCATCAAGGACCCTGATCCTTTCCATTCTTTTGCAGCAGCATCCTCAGTGTTAGCTTTATATAATTCTTTTATCCTCAGTTCTCCTCTTCCTCTCGGTCAGCGCTACAATGTCGCTCTGTCAGTTAACAGAACTAATTTCAGCATAAAAAGAATTGATTGAGAGACTTTGGGGCAGCTCACAGAATCGAGACAGCTGGAGAACCAGACTCAAAGGCAAGGTCTCCAAAGTTTTATCGAGACCTACACCAAGTCTAGTAAGAACAGCCCTACTACCTTACCTGAATGTGAAACTCTGAAACTTAACATAGCGACCACACACTCTCTGGACTTCCGGTGGCCTTCTGATACCATAGCCACACATATGGTTTTCGTTGTTGTTTCTGTTCCTTTGCACCCTAATCCCTGGTTCAAAATCTAGGATGGATGTGTCTAAGCAGCCACGGCCATGTCACAGGCCTAGGCTTGAGGTGTAGGGGAGGCCCCGAAAGTGCCTGGCTGGCTCTTCCAGCTTCTGTAGACTCCTAGTGGGAGGCATTTGGGTAATGAGCAGCTCTCTTCCTCCTCCCCGCAAACAGAATGGATGTCTGTGGAGTGCAGTTCTACTCTGCACACATGAGGTGCAGTCAACTCAGTGGCAACTTAACAACAACAACAACGCACAAATCCATGTCAACTACTAACTGCATGACTTACATGAATGCTAATCCTCTCAGCAACCTTGTCAGGTTGGTTTTATCCCTAATTTTTTGAAAATCAAAGAGTAGAAGTGAACTTGTCCTTGACCTAGGAGTTGAATATGGATCTTTTGGATTCTAACACTTTTTTTCCAATTACTTCTGTCCTATTTTATCAGCTGTATTAATCCGACTTGATAGCCACAGAAGCTTGCCTCTGTTCTTTGCTGGGATGAAGAGCCTTTGTGACACAGGGTCTCGTTAAAGGAAAAGAGAAGTGTTGATAAAGCCCAATTAGGTGCTATTTCAGTCAAGGGGATTTTATAAGGCTGTAAATACAAGGAGGCTTCAAAAAGTTGGTGGTAAAATGAAATTAAAAGGTAATGAAATATTTTCCACCAACTTTTTGTAGCCCCTGCGTGTAATCATTTTTTTGATTCCAAACTTTAAGACTACTTGGGCAGCGGTTCTCAACCTGTGGGTTGCAACCCTTTGGGCCAGGGGTCCTCAAACTACGGCCCTCGGGCCACATGCTGCCCGCTGAGGACATTTATCTGGCCTGCCAGGTGTTTTTGCCCCATTCGTTTAGTTACTTCAAAATAAGATATGTGTAGTGCGCATAGGAATTTGTTCATAGTTTATTTTAAGCTATACTATGGCCCTTCAATGGGTCTGAGGGACAGTGAACTGGCCCCCCTGTTTAAAAAGTTTGAGGACCCTTGCTTTTGGGGGTCAAAAGACCCTTTCACAGAGGTCACCTGATTCATAACAGTAGCAAAATGACAGTGATCAAGTAGTAATGAAAATAGTTTTATGTTTGGGGGTCACCACAACATGAGGAACTGAATTAAAGGGTCACGACATTAGGAAGGTTGAGAACCACTGGGTTAAGTGGTAACTAACAACAATAATATCAAACTTTAAAAGCATCAAATGATTATTATAGAAATTTTGACATTTTAGCAACTCTGTTAAAAGACAGGTCAGAAACTTTAGCTGAGGCAAATCAGGCCATTTGAAATCCTTATAAAAATATTGAAATTGGTGCTTATGGAATTGTAATCAGACAATGAAGCTACATGAATCATAGCATTGGTCTTTGACACCAACTCTGTTGGGCAGCCAAAGCTTGGCGAACATTTGCTGAAACTCTCATACTACATATAACCAGTCAACTGAAAATGCTGCATCTTCATGCTGAGCACCAACCTGCAGCCTCCAGTTTCACCAACCTACATTGGCCCACCTTGGGGTCTGCAGGTATGAGTTGGGCCTATCTTTCACATTTTCTGGATTTGAGAAGTGGGGTTTGGTATTTAAACTATCTTTGCCTGGACATTCCAGCAAGGCCTCTCTCTCCAAAGGGACAGCTCAGCAAACTGACTTCTAAGAGGATGAAAACCAGGGGATGAGTTGTCAGTCTCCATTTCTTGGGGTCCTTGAGTTTGGGGAAGGGAGGGAGGGAGAAACTGTCCTCTTTTCTCTTGTCTCTGAGAACATAGGAGGCCCCAAGAATTGGGTCTTCTTTTAACTTGACTCTGGACAACTTAGAAACCTTTTGTCGTTGTGTTAGGCAGGGTTATCTAGAGAAACAAAACCAGGGCACTTACGATTTTATATAAATATATATGGATAGATTTATACAGCGAGAAGGAATATAACAGCTAATTAGTCCACAAAGCAAAGGGCTCAGGAGCTTAACAATAGGATATCAAACTCAAGCAATGCAAGGCGAAAGGATCCACCAGCCTCAAGCTCAAGCAATGTACGCACCAGTAGCATGGCTAAACAGATCTCGAAGGAGCCTCAAGCTCTAGCAACCCAATCCATGGGTTGGCTTGGCCCACAGGTAGTGTAGCACACAGGTTGAGGCAGAGAACTATTTAAAGCAGCAGCATGCTGGTCCAATCACCAGAGAGCAAGAGAGATGGGGGTGGGCCTTACAGAGCCATTTATCTCTTTCCCCTCCAATCAAACTGAAACCTGATTAATCCCACATGTTCCTATTGGCCAGGTTGGCACAATAATCCTAACTATCACATGCCTCAACTAGGCATCATTTTTGGAGCCCTGGTGGCCCAATAGTTATGTGTTGGGCTGCTAATCTCCAGGTTAGTTGTTTGAAACCACCAGCAGCACCAAAGAAGAACGATGAGGCTGCCTACTCCCACAAGGAGCTGCAGTCTCAGAATCCCACAGGGGGAGTTCTTCCCTACTTAAAGAGCTGCTATGATGCAGGATTGACTCACCAGTAGTGAGTACATAATTTCTGCTACAACTCCTGCACTATGAGGTAAACATTAGTGGAAGTTAACATCATCCCAATTCATATGCTATCAAGAATTCCTTTACATGGGCAAAGATATGGGACCTGGAACTTAAAGAGATAAATTCAAGTCATGGCCTTGCCACTTCATTTTCTGGGTAAAACGTTATTTTACATTCCCGAGCACAGAGTTAAAGGAAAATTAGGCCATGTAAAAGCTATACAAATGGTAGTTTTTATTGCTGTAGTTTATTTACTAATAAGGCAACTAGAAAAGGTCTGTGCTGTCTGAGTGAAACTGTGTTATAGTGTGTGCATCAGGCTTTGGCACTGTACTTTGCAATAGCTTTGTTTTTATCATTAAACCAGGGCTTCCTAGCCCCCTACATGTCAGTAGCACCCTCTTTCTCCTTCAGCTATGACCATCTAAATGTAATCTGCACATGGGTAAGTACCTATATTAGACAAAATGTTCTTGTTAAGAACCACAGCCTTAAGCCAAGGTTTATTCGCGGTCATATGAAAATGACAGTGATTTTCATGTCACCATTTTTATTCAATTTTTTTTTCCTTATTACAGAAGCAATATATATTTATTCTCCCCATCCCCTGTAAAAAAATCAGGAGCTACAGATAACCAAGTAATTAAAATCACCAACAATCCCAGCCACTCAAAGCCAACCAATAATGATAATCCTTTCAACGGCTCTTCGTGCTTAGTGTGGTTCATTGCTGTCCAGTTGGTTCTGATTTAGGGTCGCTCCATGTGTTAAAAAGTAGGAGGATTTCACAAGGTTTTGCATGGTTGATTTTTCAGAAATAGATCACCACGTCTTAAAAAGGCATGTCAGGGTAGACTAAACTAAAAAAACAAACTCATTGCCATGAGTCTGTTCCAACCCTGTAGGACAGGGTAGAACTGCTGCCCTGAGTTTCTGAGACTGTAATTATTTAAGGGAATAGAAAATCCCATATTTCTCCCAAAGAGCAGCTAATGGTCCTGAACTTCAGACCTTGTGGATCACAGCCCAATATGTATTAGAACGTTCAAACTCTTGGTTAGTAGCTGAGTAATTTAACCATTTGTACCACCAAGGGAATGTGTATATTATAGATTCCCAAATCTATTTAGCCTACAAATTCTGAAATTTTTATTTTCAGAAAAAAGATTACTCAGTGTTCCTGCCCCACCCCCTGCAATTAAAAAACAAAACAAAACACTACAGCCCATAATCCAGAATAAACTGTGGGTATCTGGTTTTTTTTTAACTAAAATATGCATTTATTTGATATAGACTTGTCAAAATATTACATAGATAGTATCTTTAAAAAGCAAAAAGGCTATAACCATGTGGCAACAAATTGGAAGTTAAAACTGACTTTTTAATATTTTAACTCTTTGTTTATTCTAATCAACATTAGAAACTCTGAGTTTTACTTCTTTTTTTGTTGTTTACTTTTTTTTACACTTGTAATATTTATTTATTCATTTCACAAAACCCAATATATTTTTTATTAAATAATCATTTTATTAGGGGCTCATACAACTCATCACAATCCATACATACATCATTTGTGTCCAGCACTTAGTACATAAGTTGACTTCATCATTCTCACAACACCTGCTTTCCACTTGAACCCTTCATGTCAGCTCATTTTCCCCCCTCTCCCCTCCCCCTGAACCCTTGATAATTTATAAATTATTATTATTTTATCATATCTTACCCCATCCAACGTCCCTCACCCACTTCTCCACTGTCCGTCCCCCAGGGAGGAGGCCATATGTATATTTTGTCATCTGTTCCCCCTTTCTCCCTCACCTTCCCTCTACCGTCCCGCTATCGCCACTCTCTCCACTGGTCCTGGGGGGTTCATCTGTCCTGGGTTCACTGTATTTCCAGTTCCTATCTGTGCCAGTGCACCTCCTCCAGTCCAGCCGGATATGTAAGGTAGAATTGGGATCATGGTAGTGGGGGGGAGGAAGCATTTAAGAACTAGAGGGAAATTGTATATTTCATCATTACTACACTGCACTCTGATTTGCTCCTCTCCTCCCTGCAGCCCCTCTGCAAGGGGATGTCCAATTTCCCCCGGATGGGCCCTGGGTCCCCACTCTGCACTCCCCCTCATTCACAATGTTATGATTTTTTGGGGGGGGGTCTTTGATGCCTGATACCTGACCCCTTCGCTGCCTTGTCATCTTACAGGTTGGTGTGCTTCTTCCATGTGGGCTTTGTTGTTTCTCAGTTAGATGGCCCCTTGTTTATCTTCCAGCCTGTGGGACCCCAGAATCTGTGTAATTTGACAGCTTGGCACCATCTGTTTTTGTAACCCCTCTGGATCATTCCAGTTCCCCCCTAGGGGGCGATATTGCCACTTTGAGAAACACTCAATACACACACACACATATGAATATTTAATACCATCTTAAAATGAAAATGAAGCAAAAAATTAATGTTTTACATATTCTCATTTCTGTTTTTCCTTTTTTTTTTTAGTTATTCATAAATGAGTATGACACAATTCCATTTGAAGCCATCTCTTACTTGACGGGGGAGTGTAACTACGGAGGAAGAGTGACAGATGATTGGGACAGACGTCTCTTGTTAACTATGCTGGCTGACTTTTATAATCCGCTTGTAATTGAAACCCCGTATTATAGGTTTTCCCCTAGTGGAAACTATTTTGCACCTTTGAAAGGCACTTATCAGGACTACATTGAATTTATTAAGGTAACTGATATCACTAAAAATAGAATTTGATTTAAGTGTGAATTTTCTAAATGCAAATAGTTAAACATTCACCTAAAAATATCTGGTTTAGACAAGTATTATGGTTCCATTTATCTTTGATTTCTAGCCTTATTGAATTGGAAATTTTTGATTCCTCTATTATTTGTTGCTTAGTTAGTTTTTACCCCTTCTTGTTTTTAACTTTTGATTGTGAATTAAATGAAGGTTTGCAGAGCAAATCAGTTTTCCATTCAGTAATGCATACACATTTTGTTTCATGGCATCAACTGCAATTCCCACCACGTAACATCCGTTAGCCCACTTCTGCCCTATAGCTCCCATTTCTGCTCCTCTTCCTTTCCTGAGCTGTTCTTTGCCCTTGGGTGAAAGCTACCCTGCCCCAACAGTGTTATTGGCTTATAAGTCCTGTCTCATACAACTCAGTAGTTCAGTTCACATCAAGAAGAGTTGTACAATCATCGCCACAGTCAGTTTTAGAGTATCTCATATGGTTAATTGTTCTAAGGAGTTACCTGTCTCCTTAGAACAATTAAGTACCTTCATTGCTCTATTATAGTTCACTTTATCCTACTGCTGTCAAGTCCATTCCTAGTCAGAGAGACCCTGTAGGACACGGGAGAGCTGACACATTGGGTTTCTGAGGCTGGAAATCTTTCCAGTGACAGACAGTCTCATCTTTCTCCTCAGGAATGACGGGTGGGTTTGAATTGTTTACCTTGTGCTTAGCAGGCCAACACATAATCCACTATCCCACCAGGCCTCTTGTTCACCTCACAGATCTGTCTATTGTTGGGCTGAAAATTGAGCCTTTTCGTGAGTGCAGTTCTAGGCCTGAAGTGTGTCAAAGGGCAATTGTCTCAGGGATCCACCAGTCTCTCTGAAACCTGCAAGTGTGGTCTTTTTTATGATTTTGAATTTTTTTCTCAACTTTTTCTCCCTCTGGCTCACATGGTCCATTCGTTTTTTGGACTAATTATTTTTATGGGTCTTTGAATTTCTTCACTCTTGTTTGTTCTAGAATAGGAGAGACTCATAGCTGCTGCTAGTTGGCCAATCATGAATTTTCAGGGCTTCGCTCACTGCTGACCACATTTGGATGCAGAACATTTTCTTTGTGGACTGTGTTCTGTCATTCGACCTTGATTGCCCATCTCATCCCTGCCACCCCAAGTCTATGAGCCCCAGGTCCAGCACTGCATTCCCTCAAGGTGTTTGGTTATAGCTAAGTTTTCATAACTGTACCTCTTGTATGTTCTATGACATTCATAGACATATTTGCAGCATGTGTAAATACATGTAGGAATACCCTCCCTCAAACCCATGTACATCCTATTCATCCACTCACATCAGCTCAGCTTTTGTGTGTCTTTATGTTTCCACTGTAGTGATATCATTGTTATTGCAGAATTGTGCATATAATAATGTGATAGATAATTTTTAAGGTTTTAAAAATCATTCTATTAGGAGCTCTTACAGATATCATAACATTCCATAGTTCAGTCACATCAAGTAATATTGTACAAGTGTAACCACAGTTTTAGAACATTTTATTTCTTCTTGAATTCCTTGATATCAACGCCCCTTATCACCTCCCTCCCCTCCCCTCCACCCTTATTTATCTATATATTTATTTATTTATTTTTGCTGCATCTTACATCATCCAATATATCCATTCACGTACAATTCTGTTGTTTGCTCCCCTTGAGTGGAGTTATACAGTCATCAGTGCTATGAGCTCCACCTTCCCCGCTTCTCTCCTCTCACTTCCCGTTCCCTCAGGGAACCATTACTCCTGGTACTGTTTCTGAAGGGTTGTCTATCTTGGCTTATATGAATCAAACTATCTTAATTATACAAATGAACATATGCAAGTCTAACATGGTTAATGAAGTAAAACAAATAAAATCCATAATAGTAGGGGAGGAAATATTAAAGAACTAGAGGACAGTTAAGTGTTTCATCAGTGCCACACCACACCCTGGATTTAATCATCCCTCCCATCTGGTCCTTCTAGAGGAACTGTCCAATATCTTGCAGGTGGGTTTTGGGTCTCCACTACCTTCCCACCCCTTCACATCGATTTGGTTGCTTGTTTTTGAACTTCTGATACTATTCCTGTCTACACCTCACGATCACACAAGCTGGTGTGCTTCTATGTAGATGGCTGCTTGTTTGACTTCAAGCCTGTAAGACCCCAAACATTATATCTTTTAATAGCTGGGCACCATCAGTTTTCTTTGTCACATTTGCTTATGCACCCATTTTGTCTTCAGCTATTGTGTCAGGAAGGTATCATACAATGCCACATTATTAGAATAAATTGTACTTGTACTGAAGTAAGATTTAAGTAGAGGCCCAAAGTCCATCTGCTTCCTTATTGAATTTGCCTTTTATTACACAAATATGCTTACAATCAAATATTTATATTTGCATATATTTACATATATCTTTTTTTTTCTTCTTTCCTCTTTTTCTTAACTCCTGCCCAATTAGTGCGATAGATAATTTTATGTCAACTTGAAGAGATATAAAAATGTAAGGGTGGAGTCTAGCCTGTCAATCAGGTCACAGCCTGATGGTGCCTTCTTGTGGACATGACCTTCTCATAAGGAGGGCATGGGGAACCACCTCCTCTTTCTGTCATTTCCGTTCCTGCTTGCTAACCCTAAGGGCTGCCAGAACCCTGTCATGTTTCCATCCACCTTAGATCCACGTGACTTTGCCCCGACCAGCCTATGATCTTTCTGCATTCCGCATCATTGCTTATGGCTGTATGAGTCTAAAGAGGGACTTGTCTTTCTTACACACACATGAGTATCACTGGGTTTCTTTCTCTAGTCAACCCAGTCTAACACAAATAGTATTGACTCTGCTGCCTTTCACTCTTGCATGGTCCCAGTGTCTCCCTTTGCCTTGATCATTGTTTGCTGATCTCCCCGTTACTGCATATTGCTTTGCCCTTCATCTACATTAATATGTGTCTGCTCTCTAGAAGGTTAATGTCCACAGCAAAAATGTTGCCGGGGGCCAACTGTGGAAAAGATCACCAATTGCTCATATGTAAGTTCAGGTTGAAACTGAAGGAAATTAAAACAGGTCCACAAGAGCCAAAGTATAACTCTGAGTATATCCGACCTGAACTTGGGGAGCATCTCAAGATGACCTGTGGGAGGACATCAAGAATATCATACATGAAGAAAGCAAAAAGTCATTAATAAGACAGGAACGAAAAGATCAAAATGAATGTGGGAAGAAGCCGAAGCTGCTTTTAAAAAAAAATCATTTTATTGGGGGCTCATCACAATCTGTGCATACATTAATTGTGTAAAGCAAATTTGTACATTTGTTACCCTCATCATTCTCAAAACATTTGCTCTCCACTTAAGCCCTTGGCATCAGCTCCTCAGTCCACCCCCCCTCCTCGCTTCCCCCTCCTCAAGAACCCTTGATAATTTATAAATTATTATTTTGTCATATCTTACACTGTCTGATGTCTCCCTTCACCCACTTTTCTGTTGTCCATCCCCCAGGGAGGAGGTTATATGTAGATCCCTGTAATTGGTTCCCCCTTTCCGTCCCACCCTCCCGGTATGGAGGCTGAAGCTTCTTTTAAGAGTAGCTAAAGAGCATGGGGAAAATGATGAAATCAAAAAGCTAAATAGAAAATATCAAAGGGCAGCTTGAGAAAGATAAAATCAAATATTACAGTGAAACGTGATAAGACCTAGAGTTAGAAAACCAAAAAGGAAGAACACGTTTGGTATCTCTTAAACTGAAAGAACACAAGGAAAAAATCAAGCCTCCAGTTACAATATTGAAAGATTCTATAGGCAAAATATTGCATGATAGCAGAAAGCATCAAAAGAAAATGGAAAGAATATACAGAGTCACTCTACCAACAAGAACTAGTCAACATTCCACCATTTCAGGAGATAGCATGTGAGCAAGAACCAGTGGTATGGACGATAGAAGTCCAAACTGCCGGGGAGGAGACAAGCCAGTGAGAGTGCCATACAGCACTGATGAAACATACAACTCTCCTCTAGTTCTTTAATGCTTCCTCCCCCCCTATCATGGTCCCAGTTCTACCTTACAAATCTGGCTGAACCAGAGGATGTACACTGGTACAGATAAGAGCTGGAAACACAGGGAATCCAGGACAGATAAGCCCCTCAGGGCTATTAATGAGAGTAGCGATACCAGGCAGGGAAGAAGAAGGTGGGGGAGAAAAGGGGAACTGATGACAAGGATCTACCCCCCTCCCTGGGGACGGACAACAAAAAAGTGGGTGAAAGGAGATATCGGACAGTGTAAGACATGAAAAAATCATGTATAAATTATTAAGGGTTCAGGAGGGAGGGAGTGTGGGGGAGAGGGGGAAAATGAGCTGATACCAAGGGCTCAAGTAGAAAGAAAATGTTTTGAGAATGATGATGGAACAAAAGTACAAATGTGCTTGACACAATCGATGTATGTATGGATTGTGATAAGAGTTGTAAATAAAATGATTTTTTTTAAAAACAAGGCCAAACTGCACCACAGGCATTAGCCAAAACAAGGCTTCCGGAATTGATGGGAAACCAATGGAAAAATTTCAACAAGCTGATGAAGCACTGGAAACACTCACTCATCTGTGCCAAGAAATTTGGAAGACTCGGCCAACTGACTGAAAGAGATCCATATTTGTGCACATTCCAAGAAAGGTGATCCAACGGAATCCTCAAATTATAGAACAAAATCATTAATATCATAAACAAGTTACTTTTTGCTGAAGATCATCCAGCAATGATTGCAGCAGTACATTGATAGGGAGCTGACAGAAATTCACCCCAGATTCAGAAGAGGATATGGAACAAGGAATATATCATTGTTGATATCAAAAGGATCTTGGCTGAAAGCAGAGGACACCAGGATGTTTACTTGTGTTTTATTGACTTTACAAAGGCATCCAATGGTTTAGACTTTAGCAAACTATGGATACTCTTGAGAAGAATGGGAATTCCAGAACACTTCATTGTGCTCATCATGTTGAACCTATACATGGATCAAGAGGTGGTTGTATGGACAGAACAAGGGAATACTGTGTGGTTTACAATCAAGAAAGGTGTGACTCAAGGTTGTATCATCTCACCATACTTATTCAATCTGCATACTGAGCAAATAAGCCGAGAGGCTGGATTATATGAAGAAGAGTGTGGCATCAGGATTGGGGGAAGACTTACTAACAACCTGCAGTACACAGATGGCGCAGCCTTGCTTGTTGGAAGTGAGGAGGACTTAAAGCACTTGCTGATGAAAATGAGGGACTGCAGCCCTCAGTATGGATTACAATTCAATATTTTAAAAACCCAAGTCCTCACAACTTGACCAATAGTAATAAATGGATAAATGAAAGGATTGAGGCTGTCAAGGACTTCATCTTATTTGGAGGTATAGTCAGTGCTCACTGGCAGCAGCAGTCAGAAGATCAACTAATGCATTACATTGGGTCCATCTGCACATGACCTCTTTAAAGTGTTTAAAGGAAATCATGTAACTTTAAGGATAAGGTGTGCCTGACCCAAGCCACAGTATCTCCAATTGCCTTATATGCATGTGAAAGTTAGACATTGAATAAGAAAGACTGAAGATTGCATGTGAATTATGGTGCTGGTGAAGAATTTTGGAAGTACAATGAACTGCCAAAAGAACAAACATCTGTCTTGGAAGAAGTACAGCAGAAGGCTCCTTAAAAGCAAGGGTGGTGAGACTTCTTCTCACATACTGTGGACTTATGAACAGGGGCGATTGGTCCCTGGAGAAGGACATGATGCTTGGTAAGGTAGAGGGGCATCGAAGAAGAGCAAGATCCTCCAGGAGATGAATTGCCACAGTGGCTGCAACAATGGGCCCAGACGTCAGAGCAACCAGGGCCAGGTGGCGTTTCGTCCTGTTGTACGTAGTCACTGAGTCAGACCTGACTTGATGGCACCTAACAACAACAACAACAGCCCTCTACTGAGTGATCCTTCCCCTCCCACCTCCGGCAACCTTCAAAATGTTTTTTTGTTTGCAAACTTTTTGACTCTTTATAATGGAGGTCTTACACAACATTTATCCTTTTGGGAGTAATTTCCCTGAACAGAATGCAATAATGGTCCAAGAGTGGTGTCTGATCTCCTCTGATTTCCCAAGGGGGCAAGGACAACCAAACCACGCATCTGCTCAAGGCCAATTCCTCTGAGGTGAAGGTCAGACATGTCTTTTTCTTCCTTCCCCAATTCTAACATCAACCGTACTTCCCACAGCACTTTACGTCTCTTCAGGTTTTGATAATTCATTGCAATGGCCACACAGAACTCTCAGACAATCGATACAATTGTGGGGTTTATTAGTAATGTCAACAGGTTGTAATTCAGGATGAGAAATGCTTAAGATACAGTTTTTTGATCAGGATATGTGAGAAACTAACACTGAAGGAAATATGACGAGGACCATATTCCCTAACTTATAACAGAGGGAATCTGGAAAGCTAGTATTCCATGGTAGGACAGCCTCCACTGTGGTCAGTTGGAGGTAAAGTCCAAGTACATCATCCTGCTTTAAATATCATTCCCACAGATTCTCTCCTAACAGCTATGCTGCCTTAAAGTGAGCACATGGTCGATTTTGTTTCCCTATAGAATCAGACTTCCTTTTGCTATCGCCTCCCGCTGTGTCACCCCCATTCCCCACCCCTTTGCAGGTATTGGGTTTCCTCACCTGTGAGCTCAGACACCTTGATGTAGTTACCACCCATCTTGTGACGCATGTAACTATTGAATATGCATGTCTAGGCTACCTATAAATGACCCAAGTAAGTAAAGGCTCACTCTCCTCCCACTTAGTTCCATGTGGACCATCCAGAAGGGCTGAGGTAGGTGAGCATGCTACCATAAAACGTGTCTGACTCCTTTATTTTACTCTCTCTCCTATCTTTCCTATTCTTTATGACTTTACTGTAATCTTGATAAAAGATCTCCGTACAATTGCGCCTACTGGCCCTCCGGTTGTTGGAGGCTGGTTTCCCCCGACAAGGCTGTGGTCTCATCCACGCCTGCAGGCAGGTCTTTCTTCTGACTCTTAGCCTCTCAACCACACGATTCCTTGGCTTCTACCTTGCTCTGAAGCGTTGCAAAGCTCTTTGAGCTCTGTCAATAAATGCCCAAAGGGCTCACCACTCCTTTATAAGCCTCAACCTGAAGGTACTTGACTTTAGCTCCATAAGTCAGCAAACTTACTTCCCTGGCAGCCCATTTGACAAGGGAACCGTGTGTCTGGAGCTCAGTTTTCGCTGTGTGGCCTGGGAAGTCTGATGCTGTCTCGTGCTCTTGATGCTGCTGTCCTGCTTCTCTGACATCTCAGCTCTTGGTCTCCGAGATCGAAGAGGATCAGTGTATGAGTATTGCAGAGGCCACTCCTGGCTCTTAATTCTTGATGGTAGTGAGATGCCCTATTCCTGCTTTTGAAGCCTGGTGGGATGGCAAAAATGACAACTCCCCATGTTAGAGTTCCAGACATCCTATTTGCATGTCCCCTCAGTCATGTTGTGGGAGCTGCAAAGGCTATGGCTAGAAGACCCAGATCAAGTAATTCACTGCACCACACATATGTCCTCCAGGTTCACCCATGTTAGGATTTCTTCATTCTGTTTTGTTTTATAATTTTTTCTGACTGTTCCTTTAACAGATTAATATTGAGATATTTGTCTTCAATCTCATTAATTATGTCTTCTGTTGACTCGTTTCTATTCTTTTGCCCTTTGAATATGTTCTACCTGTCTTATAACTCTTGATAGTAACTTCTCTCTAGCTGCTTTTATGTATGGTTTCTAATTTTTAATTAAGTTTATCAGTTTGTTCATGAGTTTTCCTCAGTTCTTCAAGAGTTTTGTCTGTGCTGTCCCTAAACTTTCAGTTCTTTGAAGATACTTAAATATCTCTTCTTTGAATTCCTTAGCACATAGTTCTAATGCCATTTCTTCCTCAGGAATGTCTCCTGGAAGAAATTGAAGAAATGGTTCTGTGTTTTGGTTACTTGTTTGAACCTCTGTTTTGTTTCTTCATGTGAACTGAGACCATCTGTTGTCTCTGGGGTGTTGTGTCACATTCATACTTAATTGGTGTGATTTGCCGAAGGTTTGTCTTTGTTTTGCTTTAGTTTGTCTTGATCTATCCAGGAGAGTAGGGGTGTGTGCTTACTTTGACCAGTGGCTTGGTGGTATGTAGACACCTATCCCTGGTCTACCAGTGGACATGACTGAGGAAGGGAGTGTGTGTACAGTTCTGTTTTCTCATAGAGAGTTGAGGGTGGGTTGGGCTGAGGTTAGTTGCTGTCTATCGTTGATCAAGTGGTGGCCTTTGCCCAGTAGGTGTGGCGGAAAGAGATTCAGGAGTGGCTGGGAAGTCTTGGCATGACTGCTGTCTTCTGACTAGTGTAACACCAGAAAAAAAAAAAAGAGAGAGAAAAAGAAAAAAGTGAAGGGGAAGAAAGTGGGAGTGGAGGGTCCGAGTCACCTGGTGGTGTTCCTGCCAGCTGATAGGGGGAGACTATGGGGATGGAGCGCCTCATTCTGGTCAACTCACTCCACTGGCCAAAGAGGCCACAGGGCTGGGCACTTGGTTCTGAAAGAAGTTCCTGCTAGCCCAGAGGGCAGCGGAGGCAGCATGCCTAGTCTGCCATTATAGGTTCCATTGGCCAGGGGTGTGGGGGGCAAGTGTGCCTCTTACTTAATATGGGGCTAGTTGTAACTGGGACCTGCTGCACCAGGACATGCTCCCAACCTCAGGCAAAGTAAGGGTTCTGAGGGGCCAGGGGGGCCATTGGCTGACAGATGGGTGGTGGTGGGGTTAGCTACCCCACTGATCACCAGAAGACTATGAAGAACAAGGGGGACAGTGTTGCTCTGTGGTTGTCAGCCACTGTGGACACTGGTGATATCCTGGGCAAGCAGAGATGACTAGCAGGTTACTGGTCAGGGCACTGCTTGCAAAAAGTCAAAATGGAAATGCTGTGTTCTGTCCATCTCTTTATACATGATTTTTTTTAAGTCAGTGTTCACTCCTTTAAGCTCAGCACTCCAGGATTATCACCTGCATCTTTCATTTAGTTTCTCTTGTTACAGAGAATCTAGGAAAATGGTCTGCCTACTCTCTTTACCCTCTTACTTTTTACACCCCCCACCCTTTTTTTTTTGGTCTGCCCCTGTCTACCTCATGAATTAATGTATCCATTGGCATGTATTGCTTGATTAACATTTTGTTTGTTTGTTTTGGTAGCAACTTCCCTCTGCTCAACACCCCGAGATATTTGGGTTGCATGAAAATGTTGATATCTCCAAAGATCTTCAGCAAACGAAAACCCTCTTTGAGTCCTTACTGCTCACCCAGGGAGGCTCCAAGCAGACCGGCGCCTCCGGAAGTGCTGACCATGTCCTGTTGGACATCACCAAGGGTATCCTCCATAAGGTAATGGGTGTTTAGCCTCGTGTAGGTTGCTTGTAATAGAATGCAAATCAAAATGGTGCCTGTATGACCATCTCAAAAGGCCCTTGAACAGCATTATGACTTAGAGCCAGATGCCTTGGCCCTGTAAATAAATAAATCCACCTCTGTAAATAAGTGTTAACACCGTGAAACTTGTAACAGCCGGAGCTAAAAGCCTGCGTTGTCTGATTCCAGGTCCCGTCAGTTTTCTGCCTTTGGCAGCCTATGGTCACCACTTTTATGACTTGCTCTGTGTAGTGGAAAATATTTGTGTTGTCATTCTCTGACAGATTTCTGCTTTTTACAGGTTCTGGTGTTTGTAGGTTTTATCATATTATCTTTGCAAGAGCCTTCTGTATAAGGTTCTTGCAAAGAGGTCACAATTTTAAGGGCTTTGTTTAATGCCTGGCAAGGTAGTAAGTTCTTAATAACTATAGTTGTGGATGATAGATCTAAAGTCAATGATGCATTATCATTTATGAACCAAAGACAATGGACCTATTTTTTAAAAAACTAAAAAATGAATCTGAACTTGATGGATCTAGGACAGAATCGCCTATAGTACTTAGGAAGGGAACACAGGGAACAAGATCGAAGCTGAGTTAATCACTATAGCTTTTTTGTTTTTCCTCTTCATAATACAACTCAGTGTGCTTAATCCTATTAAGTAAAGTGGAATGTTGCTATCTGCACAATTTTTCTATAAGCCTTAATTTCATTTAAGAACTAAAGGTACTTTCAGAGAATCATGGGCCTAGGCACAGATCTGTACAGCAGCCCTCCTAGGTAAGTACTAGAATCATCTCACCTGTCATATGAGAGAAACTGAGGCCCAGAGAGGCTGTTTCATACCTGGTAGAGCTGCTAACCAGAAAGTCTGCTCAGAGGTACCTTGGAAGAAAGGCCTGACAATGTACTTTTGAAAAATCAGCCCCTGAAAGCCCACTTCAGCTCTACTACACAGGACCCCCATGAGTCCAAACCAGCTCCAGGGCTGGGGGACTTTGAGGAACTCTTTGCATCGCCCAGGAACTAATGGGGACATTCCTTTCCCCTTTAAGAGTATGGATCCCACTTGCTAGTTACTTGATCATTACTTCCAAAGTCCTCTTCACACTGCTCCTCAAGAGTGTCTCAGGTGCCTTCCAGAAATCAGACACTCAAAGGCGCCTTCTCTGCCTTTGCTCTGGGACCCTGCTACATTTACAGACTCAGCTTCTTACTGATGAGGTAAACTAAACTATCTGTAGCTAGTTTGTAATTAACTGGAAATAAATATAAGACATTTATGAAACAGAAATCAGTTATATGGATGGAAAATAACACTCCTTTTTAAAAAAGAAATTATAGTTGACCCTTGAACAACATGAGCCCCACACAACTTTGGACTCTCTAAAACTTAACTGTTGATAATCTACTGTTAACTACTCATAGTCTACCAATTGCATAAGCCCCTATTTTGTATGATTCATGTGTTATATACTGCACCAACACAAAAGCTGCCTTTTCAATAAGAGATTGAAAAGATTTCACATAAAGTGCAAGGTGTCCACACCTGCTCCGCTAGCTGTTTCTTTTTTAAAGTGGTCCTTACATGGAACCTGTGTGCCCTGAAATGGACAGCTGTAATGTAGGCTGTCATCGATGGTGCACATCACATCACACATGGTGCAGCACTTTGTTGTGAGGTCATGACGTCACCGGTGGGGAGCATGTTCAGCACCACTAATGGCACTTGGTGTAGGTTCCACAGTGTGTTAGCCAAGGTGGGCCGTACTTCCGTAAACACGAAGAGCAATATGCCAGGAGTGCGGGCGATTGCTTTTTTCTGTAATACACAATGTAATGGAGAGATGAACTGCTCAAGTTGAGATGATTAGTGCCACGTGATGGTGTGTTCGGGTTGTTGTTTTAATCGATCTGTAAGTGGGCGCACACTTCAAATCTGTGTTTTGCAAAGGCCCACTGTATATCACTTTTCAGAAATGTCTGTCTTCTACAAAATGACGTATCCTGTATGAACAGGAGCACTGGAGTCAGAGACCTGTGATTCCAAGAGACGGCTGTGGGGCTGGGTGCATGTGGGTCTGCTACTTAACTTCTCTGTACTTGTGCATACTGGAGATCAGCATGCTAAGAGTGCTGGCTATGCTAAACAGGACAATGCATGGAAAACAGTGAGCATGGTGCCTGGTCTGCGTGGTGCTTACAATACGTTCTGACGTATGACGACCCAACCTGGGCCAAGTAGATCTGCCCCCTGGGGGTTCAAGGCTGTGACGTTTGGACACAGATGACAAGGCCTGTCTTCCCAGTTCCTCCGGTGAATGTTCCCACTGCCCACCCTATGTGGCCCCTAGGCCCATGGTCACTTCCCGGTATTAGTTAGTACTGATAGTATCCCTGAACAAAAATAATAACCCATCCTGAGAGTAATTTTTGATCTTCAAATTCAATTTTTAGCTCCCCTCTGATTTTGACATTGAAGCTGCACTGTCTAAGTACCCGGTGAGATATGAAGAAAGCATGAATACGGTGTTAGTGCAAGAAATGGAACGGTTTAACAAGTAAGACTCTATCTCCAGTGATTCAGAAAGCAGCCAACCAAAGTCAGTATAGAGATCGAGTAGCATTAAATTAGATTTTAAAAGAAAAAATGATCAAATCCTATCATTTTATTTTATATTTTAAGTTCCAGAACCTTCTACCCGAGAAGAGAAAGTTTAAAAAAAATTTTAAGCCTTTTATTTTTTAATTAGATAACAGTTACAGGGCAGATCATGAGATGTCCATTCAATATTCAGACACATTTTGTTTCAACTCATCCATTGCAATCCTTTCGATGTATGCTCACATACCCTACTTCCTCCCTGTGTATCCCGTGTCCATTGCCCCTCTTTTCCTAACTCTCTACTCTGTGTCTGAGGTTAATACTACCCTTTTGATTATTCCAGCACAGGGGTGAGTTCAGATGGGGAACTACAGGCCATAGTCTCATAAGTGCCACCTATTGCTTTCCGACCAGTAAGCATGGTCTCTTCTGTGATACTTGAGTTTGGGTCCCATATTTCTCCCACTCTATCCAGAACCTCCTAATGCGATCCTTTGCAGAGCAGTCGGCCATGGGAGCCAGGCACCATCTAGTTCTAAGAGAAGGGAATTTTCTAAAGCAGAAATGACAATGAAAAAGATACCTGCTTTTATTACTTAAAATATCAGTAATTCTCATCTATTTTCTTCTATTCTTTACAGGAACTAAAGCTAGTCTAGACATTAGGTAGGATGTATAGTTATATTTTTCATTTTTCCCTGCTCTCTCTGACAGACCCACATGTCCCTTTTTTATCTGAATCCAATCTAGGTTGAGTAAGTACCTAATAGAGCAAAAGTTATTTACATTGGATTTTAATAAATTCTCTGCAACTCAATAATGGTTTAAGGAACAGAAAAGTATTTTGGTTATGAATTTTCAAAAGTGTTTCCAAATTTATTTTAGTTTCCAGACTTGCTGATATTTTAAAATAAAACATATTAGAACACTATGCCATAATTAATTCAGTACTTTTTATATAAAGAAATATATGTTTATATATGGTAGCATGCTATCTCTCATTTGCTTAAGCCTAAAACCCTTGCTGCAAGTATATTTATGTTGTTCTTATCAGTTTGGGCAGAAGATGGAAGCCTAAGTATTTGCAAGTGTATACGTGAAAATGTAGTTTGTCTTACTGCAGCATATCCCAAGATTCAGTCCCTGCATCAGCCCTTGATACTTTGTTCATAGTTCCCTAATATTACTTACTTGTCAATATTCCTTAAATGCTTCTCTATCAGGTAGACATTATCACCAAGAATCAGCAAGTGTGAAGTGCTAGTCATATTCTTTTTTTGTTTCTGTTTTTGAAATATGTATGTAATGTTCCAAATGGAAAGCGTTCACACATGTAGCATCTAAAATGACCCCACTTATCACAAAGTGGGAGGTGACCCCACTTGGGGAAATATTCCCATCGAGCTTTGAATGAGAGTCTAGCCGTTCTAGAAAGGTGCAGAGTGGTATTTACTATCACGCACATGCGCTCTCTCTTTTCTAGTTACTTGATCATTACTTCCAAAGTCCTCTT